AGTATAGGGGGTACCTTGCTCAATAGTAGTAACTGTGAGAGGGATCTCGGAGTCCTAGTGGACAATCATTTAAATATGAGCCAGCAGTGTGCTGCAGCTGCCAAAAAAAGCCAACACAGTGCTGGGCTGCATTAACAGAGGGATAGAATCAAGATCACTTGAAGTATTAATACCACTTTACAATACCTTGGTAAAGTCACACTTGGAATACTGCATCCAGTTTTGGTCACCACGATGTAAAAGAGATGCTGAGACTCTAGAAAGAGTGTACAGAAGAGCAACAAAGATGATCAGAGGACTGGAGGCTAAAACATATAAGGAACGGTTGCTGGAATTGGGTATGTCTAGTTTAATGAAGAGAAGGACGAGGGGGGACAGGATAGCAGTGTTCCAATATCTCAGGGGCTGCCACAAAGAAGAGGGAGTCAAGCTATTCTCCAAAGAGCCCGAAGGCAGGACAAGAAGCAATGGATGGAAATTAATCAAGGAGAGAAGCAACCTGGAACTAAGGAGAAACTTCCTGACAGTTAGAACAATTAACCAATGGAACAACCTGCCTCCAGAAGCGGTGAATGCTCCAACAATGGAAGTTTTTAAGAAGAGACTGGACAGCCATTTGTCCGAAATGGTGTATGGTTTCCTGCCTGAGGGGGTTGGACTCGATGACCTCCAAGGTCCCTTCCAACTTTATTATTATTTTTATTTAGCAAACAGCATATTGTCTGGGTTCATGTATTTAAAAAACAAGTAAAAGTTAATTTCTATATTATCATAATCAATATGTTAGTTAATCGCTCAATAGCCTTTTTCTTACTAGTATATATTCAATGTTACATAGTACATATCATGTTCCTTTCTCTCTAACTTGCTTTTCTAGCCATTGGTAAAAATTATCCCATGTTCTAAAGTACACTGTCTTCTTTCTCTTTTATCTTTAATGTCAATCTGTCTATTTCTGCACAGTCTAATATTTTAATTAGTTCTTCCATTGGTGAGTTTTCATTTTTCCAATATTGGGCAAATATAATTCTTGCTGCAGTTAATACATGTAAAATTAACTATATACAATCTTTCTCATAGTTTCCTCCTATTATGCCTAACAGAAACAGTTCTGGCTTGAAATCTATATGTTTTTTAGTCATTTTTCCAACCATATGTGTATTTTTGAGCAAAATCTTTTAGCTTTAGGGCATGTCCACCAGATATGATAATAAGTACCTGGTTTTTGTTTACATTCCCAACACTTATTTGATGTATTTTTGAACATTTTCGCTAATCTCATCGGTGTAAGATGCCATCTGTAAAACACTTTGTATAAGTTTTCTTTGTAAGCCACCGCTTTCATTAATTTAGCATTTCTTTCCCATAATCTTTGCCAGTTTTCTAATTCTACATTATGTCCAAAGTTCTTTGCCCATGTTATCATTGCTTCTTTTACTTGTTCCTCTTCCATCTTTAAGTTTAACAAATATTTATAGAGTTTCTTAATCAATTTTTCATCTGTTTTTAGCAGTATCTGGTCAAAATCTGTCTTGTTTTTTATAAAATCCCGTTGTTTTAGCATTTTTTTCATATCTTGTTTGAATTTGCAAGTATGGCCACCATGATAGTTCAATACTTTATTCTTGTAAATCTTGTCTGTCTTTCAGTTTCCCTTCATTGTCTAAATTTAAAATATTTTTATAGGTTACAGCTTTCTCATAATTGATTAAGTTTGGGTAAGCAAATGCTTCCATTGTTGAAAGCTATCCAGGTATTTTAATATAGATTTTCGCTTTTATTTTATTTTATTTTTCCTTTCTAAAAGAAGTGCATTGCTTATAAAGTAGTTTTGAAAGTATCTATGTATTTTATTCTTCGCAGACCACAGAAAGGCATGCCATCCAAGTTGTAGGTCAGTGATGGCGAACCTTTTAGGGACTGAGTGCCCAAACTGCAATCCAAAACCCACTTATTTATCACAAAGTGCCAGGGCCACATCAGCATTGTGGTGCCCTCTGGGGGGAGGAGGTAGAGGGGTGTGGCCCACTGGGTGGGCGTGACCGCCGAGGTCACAGCAGACAGGGTGGGCATGGTTATGGTGGGCATGGCCACCTTGATGTTGCTCATGGTGGGGAAGCCTGTGGGTGCCGGGCAGGGTTGGAGGAGATCCAAGGGGTCTCTGGTGGGTGTGGCGGTGGTTCAGGAGGCTCATCCTATGGGGTGAGGCAGGGGGCAGGGTGGGGGTGCCATTGCTGCAGAGCAAGGCAAGGCGAGGCAGGGGCCGGGACGGCTGCTGCCTGACATTATCAGCCCCTGCACACAGAGGCCAGAGAGCGCATAGGGGCCAAGGGTGTCTGTCAGTAGCCACAGCCTGCCAGTCCCTCAACCGGTGCACTCTGGGGCTCCGCAGTCTGCTGCCAATACCGGGCCAGCCCCCCAGCAGCAGGCGGAGTAGGAGAGGGGGGAGACATGTGATGCAGACCGCTGGACACGCCTACTCCATCCCATCTGTTTTTGCTTGCAGTTGGAGAGCAGGTCACTGCTGGTCATCTTGGCCCCCTCACAGATCTTGCCCTTGGCCCGCGCATGGAGCCTGTTCCCCTCATGCACCCGACGCACCTTGGTCCCGCCTCGGGCTGCCGTAGTGGCCTAATGGACCTGCATGAGCTGCTGGCGGCGGCAGCACGCGTGCCCACAGAGAGGGCTCTGAGTGCTGCCTCTGGCACCCGTGCCATAGGTTCGCCACCACTGTTGTAGGTCATGCCTCTCTAGGTATAATAGTCTTTTATCTCTAAGCATTATCCACTCTTTTAGCCATGTTAATAGAGTTGCTTGGTAGTATAGCCTCCAATCAGGCAGTCCAAGTCCTCCACTTTCTTTTGCTTCTTGTAACATTTTCAGTCTAATTCTAGCTTTTTTTCCTTGCCAGATAAATTTCAGTATTGTTGTATTTAGTTCATCAAAAAAGGTTTTTCCCAGTCTTATAGGTATCGTTTGAAATAAAAAGAGTATTTTTGGTAAGATATTCATTTTCACTGTTGCTATTCTCCCCAGCATTGAAGTTGTACGTTTTCCCACTTTTCCAGATCCAATTTTATTTGTTTTAACAATCTTACATAGTTGTCTTTTTTATTGTTGCACATCTTGCTGTTAAGTAAATTCCCAAATATTTGACTTTTTTGACTATTTGAAGGTGGTTTTTTTGCTAACTGATTTTTTTGTTTTTCTGTTAAGTTTTTAGTTAGCACTTTAGTCTTTTCTGTTTATTTTCAACCCTGCCACTTCTCCAAATTCTTCTATTTTCTCCATAAGCTTAACACTTGTTTCAAGCGATTCTTCTAATATAAAAACCAAGTGATCTGCAAATGCTTGTAATTTGTATTTTCCATCTTTTATCTCCAGTCCTTTAATTTCTATATCTTGCCTGATATTTCTATTCAATACTTCCAATGTTAATATAAATAATAGTGGATGAAATATTGGGGTGGGGTTTTGCTTGATGTTTTGCTATTGATCTGAGTGGGAAACCCTCAGATCCTGCCTTCTATGCCTGCTGTCAGTTTCTCCTAATAAAAGTTCCTTTTGGAATGAAAGTGTTCCAAGAGTCCTCCTTTCTTGGGATGAGGTTTTGAAACAGGTCCTTACAGGCACTCAAAGTAAAGCTCTGAGACTCCTCCCCTCTTTATGCCTCTGCCTGAGCTGCTTCCAAAACAGTATTTTATACTGTTATATAGAGGCAGCCATCTCATTTATGTGGGGTTTTGATTATCTCACTTCTGGACTTAAAAGAGGTTTCAGTCCCTCTTACTCTGGTCTGTTTCCCCCTGGCCCTCTGCACCCCATGACTTGAACTGGGGTGCTTATCTAACGTCTTCACTATAGTGCCACTTGTCAAGTTGCTCTGGAGATGGTGCTCATTTTTGTGTGGCTCCTTCCTTCACAGTAGCAGGCATATTCCACAACTGGATGTGGGGAAGGAGGAGAAAGGCTGGCTGCCTGCATGTCACCCAGACACGTGTGTAAGTGTATGCGCGAGCATGCATGTGTGTGTGTACACATTGAGAGGCAATTATCAAAATGTGAGCAGGTGAGACTTTCTGTCAGAACACAAGTGAGATCTCCTGGTGCTTGTGCAGAATCAGGTACCGCACTGACACTGCTGAGCCAGTCCCCCCCATCCTCCCCCAGAGAAGTCAGGCTGTCTGACATGCCGCTACACAAATCTTGGCTAGCTCAAACTTCCCCTTTATTTTGAAGTGGCTGTTAAAGCTTCAGGATAGAGACTGGTGGCAGGAAAGACCAACCATGGCAGAGTGAGAGTCATGGCTGACTCTCTGGGGCCTCTGGAGGGTGGGAGGAAGGGTGGCCCAAAGCCACAACTCTTACCAGGGGCCACATTTGAAATTTATTTCCTTGCTTTCAAGGGTGCTTGCCAGTTTGCACATGGTTTCAGTTATCCAAATTATTAAAATAATGGACATTTAACAGTCAAAGACCCTTTTATCACTGCCTTTATTGGGATGTGCTTCTAGAGTCCATTGTGAGGGGAAAGCAAAGTGTCAGAGGAACAGGGAAGGAGAAGACAGCCTGGGCAAGGCACCCGCAGGTGCGTGAAGGAATTCCAGCAAGCAGGAACCGGTGGGGGGGGGGGGGAGAGAGAACGTGCTCCATCACAGAGCCACAGATGGGATTGCCTGAGAACATCTTTCCGGAATGTTCCTTCCTGGGCTTGGAGGGAAAGATGCCGAGTGCCCATCTGCAGCGTCTAAGGTGCTGCAGGCCTCCCCAGTGATTTCCAGGACAGGGTGCACCAGCCTCCAGGCGAAATGCAGCTGACTGCTGATCAGAGCCCTCCCTCAGCTGCCAGGGCTTCTGCCTGGCTCCTCAGAGAGCACAGATGCTGGAAGGAGGGCTGTCCATGGCACTTCCTCTCCTCCCCAAGCAAAGCCTTCCAGGTCTGAAGTACCAACAGAGCAGAGCTAGGGAGGGATGAAAGAGGCCCAAGGGCAGCCTCCATCTCACTGAGCCTTTGCTAACTTGACATGGATGGGGGCCAGGGGGCGATGGTCTTCACAGTGAGCAGGAGCTGCCATGGGCAATTCTTGGGTGATTTTTGGTAAAGGCTGCTTTTCCCATTCACCCTAGAGAGAAAAGGGAGATTATAAGGGTCTGGAAGTGCACACTATAAGGCCAGCTAGCAATATGCCCCACCCTACTTGGAAAACACAGATGGAATAAACTAGGCATTGATTTATATAGTTGCAGGTGCAGAAGCACACCAACCCCATCCCTGGAACCTGGAGAATGTCTGCTGGGCACTGGCTGAGCTCTGGAGACCCAGCAACCCTTCCTCTCTCCACATAGGTAGAGCTCCTGACAGACAATCCACAAATACTCGTGAGGAGAATCACATGCATGGGAAATGCATCTTGCATATGGTCCCTGACTCAACAGCAGTAACAATGAGAGTCCTAGTAGACACTCCCCCTCCCACTTAAGGATGAGCCAGAGTCTGCTGCAGCTGCCAAAAAAGCCAATGCAGTCCTAGGTTGCATTAACACAGAGAGAGCATCCATGTGAAGTGGATAGCATCGCTTTATTCTGCACTGGTGAGAATACTTGGAGTACTATGTCCAGAATACAGAACAACCAAGTTGGAAGGGACCTTGGAGGTCTTCCAGTCTAACATCCTGCTCAAGCAGGAGACCCGCCTAGACCATTCTGGACAAATGGCTCTCTAACCTCTTCTTAAAAATCTCCACTGATGAAGCACCCACAACTTCTGAAGGCAAGCTGTTCCACCCATTAATTGTTCTCACTGTCAGGAAGTTTCTCTTTAATTCTAAGTTTGATCTCTCTTTGATAAGTTCTACCCATTGCTTCTTGTCCTGCCCTCAGGTGCTTTGGAGAATAGGCTATTCTCCTTTTCTTTGTGGCAGCCCTCAAAATATTGGAAGACTGCTGTCATGTCACCCCCTAGTTTTTTTTCTTCATTAGACTACTAGTACTACTAGTACTTGTCAACTTGTGGCTTGTCAACAGTCGGGGTGTGGTTGTCTCCGTGGTAGTCCCTGCTTATCTGGGTATAGGCTGCTGGAGACAGCTTGTTCTGATCTTTTTGTTTCCCTCTTAGCTTTTTGATTGTCTCTTTTGAATGGCTTGTAAATATGGTGCTCTATATGTCTATAGATGGCCGATTTGTCTGAATGCCCAGCTTCCAGAAAGGCCCTAGTGGGTTTGGTCTTAGCTTGGTCTAGGATGCCCACAAGTTTCCAGTGGAAACTCTCTCTCACACAAGACAGGAACACAATTTCCTTTGCTCAGAGTGACAAGAATTCTAAGCATTCCAGATTTAAAGGAGCCTCATTTCAATCTTCTGAAAGTTCTCCTTTCACCCCTAAGCAGCCTCCACCTCTCACAAGCTTGAGAGACTCCCAGTTTGTGAGCACGGCAGGGGCAGTCAAGAGCCCATACAGGACCAGCCCCTTCCCAGTCAAAAGAGTCCATCCAGGCTCCTCCATGAGAGGCCAGATTCAGCCCCATGCCAAGTGATCAGCAGAGCCCAAGCTGGCCCAAGGATGCCCCAGGTTTCCCCAGAGGGTCTTCCTACCGGAAACCGGATAGCCGAGGATTTATTGCAGTGCATGGAAATTGGAGCAGAGTCGTAAAGGGCTCTCAGGACCTGTCTGCTGAATGAGTTCCAAGAGACTGAAGAAAACTGCCTTGTGACTGAGGCCTCTGGGCACGTGCAGATGTCTTCATCATTGAATCTACCAGAGGAGAAATGCTGTGCATCAGGAATGGGAAAATGGAGAGGGGGGGGAGAGGTTCCCAACTGCAGGAGCAAAGAATACAGGAGCATTTTAAAAAGGGTCTGCAGTTTTTAGTGTGTTTTGGTCTGTGTGTTTCTCAATGGTATGGGAGAGATAAGGAACCATCTTTCAAAGGACCTATTTATAAAATTCCCTGTAACGTGCAAAGAAGATGAGGGGGAGGAAGAGGTACATCTAAGGCAGAGTAAGCTAATCCCAGGGTTGCGTGGCATCCTCGTTCGTCTACAGGAAGCTTTCAAGTATTCCTCCTCTGGCTGTTATTTCCAGTGCAATCATTGTGCAGATTTTCCTCCGGCACCACTGGGCCACAGTTGGAAGCATTGGGACTCCTTCCCCCCCCCACCCCCAGGCCTGTACCCGGCAGAGCCAGAGGGACAGAGGAGAGGCTACCCTCTCCTGGGTTCTCCAGACAAGCCATCACACACCCTCACGTCCTCTGGGGCTCGAGGAGGGAGCCACGCAGGTTGGGGACCAAGCAGAAGACCTGCCGTTCTTTGCCCTGCCGGGACAGCATCTACTGGTTTGTAATCAGCCCTGCTTTTAATGGTATTCATATTTGTATGATTATAGGTCACAAAGAGGGTCTCCAACAGCGTCTGCCCCAGCAGAGCTCAGTGAGCCTCTCTGCAGCCGTCACCATCTCCAGCAAGAGAGAACCGGCCAAGCAGGGAGGCTCTGCCGGCCAAGCTGCCAGAGGGACGAGGAAGGTCCCCAGCCCCCCCTCCTAGCCCCATTCCAGACCAGCTGCCCCTCAAGGAAGCCCTCACTCCCTCCTCGGTCTGCGGTCAGAGACATCCTTAGGAACCCCCCAACTTCCTTCTTTCCTTGGCAAAAGCCGCAGTGGCAGCAGCATCTTAAAAACATTATTATCCCCTACCTGGGGTGTCTGAGTGCTGCTGCTGCCACCCCTGAGGTGGATTTAGGGGCAACAGGGCAGTCCATGCCAGTCCCTGCATCGCATTACCTGTCCAGAAGCTGAAAATAGCGGTGCAGGTATCCCGGGTCAATAGCACTTTTGCACAGCTCCAGCTGTGTCTGGGGGTAGTAATGGACGTAGTTCACACACATCTCTTCCATGATTCCAAATCCTCCCTGCATAAAAGGGAAGTGAAGCTCCTCAGCATTTCCCACACACAGAACCCCCCCCCACGTCCCTCCCATTTATTCCCCTTTGCCTCCATTTTGCCTGCTCCATCTTTCAGCCCACAGCCGGGACTATGGGTGCAAATCAATGCTGGACTGTGATCCGCTGATGCAAATTCCCTGCTTGCGTAGTTATTTATTTTCCTAATTTGGCCAGAATTGGCCACCTGGAGAATGGAAGCCCACTCCCAATCTCTGGCAGTGCTGCCTTCCCCTTGGCTTTAAGCTGCCAGGCCCCTTCCGTGCGTTCCCAGAAAAGCACCCGAGTTTGGCAGACAGCAGCAGACACAGAGGTGGCTATGTCTGAGGGATCTTGGACAAAAGGACTCCCCGGCCAGCATCAAAATTGCCTCCTGTTCTCTTTCGGGTTCTGCCGTTCTTCTGGGGGAAGGGGAGCTTGGGGTTGCTACAGTGTATTTCCTTTGCTCTCTTTGTTCTCTTTGATGTTTCTTCCTCAGGGTGAGAATGGGATGTGCCTCTGGCCATCTGCCTTATCTCCGGGCGTGGAAGAAGAGTCTTGGAAACAGCGCCTTATCGCTCCGTTCCCCCAACATTTTCACACCTGCGGATTGGCGTATTTGATCCCTCCAGATGGACAGTTGGGTGGGGTTTCCATTGACACTTTTGACTATTGATTCGCACAGGAAACCCTCAGATCCTGCCTGTCAACACCTTCCAATAAAAGTTCCTTTTGGAATGATGCCCAGTTCAAGAGTTCTGCTTTCTTGGGAGGCTTCATTGAGGCAGGTCCTTCCTGCAAACTCCAGGGGCATCAGGCGTGAGCTAGCTGCTGACTCTGAGACCTCCGTTGTCTGCTCTGCTGTGGCCGACAAGAGAGGAGCCGAGGGCGGCCGGGTGCAGAGGAGACCCTCAGGGGCTCTTTTCCAGGCCCTCTTCAGCCTTGGCTGTCGGGAGGCTTCCTTGGACCGGCCGGGGGTGTGGTGTTGGGGAGCTAATGCAAAGGGAGTGTTTCCTGTGCTGCTTCAATCTAATAACACTCTAATATGAGCTAACACCATGACAGGACTACCAAAGAGCCAGTGCAATTTGAGGTACTCTTTCTGAATTCTGCTTCATGCCTGCATAAGTCCAGTTCTGGGCACCATATTTTACAAATCATAAAATGTAAGGGCTGGAAAGGAGATCACCTGTTCCAACATCACCCTGCTGGGAGAGAGAGCCCATGGTAGAACAGCCTGAATACCAGAAGGACTCAAATTAATTCATGGATGACCAGATAAGGAACAGAAAGGCCAAAGGCAGAGGAGGAGAGGAAGGAAAGGAATATAAGCAATCCTTGCTTAATAATGCTAAGTGGGACTGAAAACTGTCACCAAGTGATGCAGTCATAAGTTGAAAACCATGTGACTGTCGTCAAGCGAGGACTGCATGAGTTATTAAGCAGGGACGTTGTGACATACGTTGTCATGACTAGTGACATACTGCCAGCTTTTCCATTGACTTTGCCAGTTGGAATCCAGCAGGGAAGATTACAATCACTCAGAATGTCCTAACTGTCAGCCGGGCACGGGTGCCTGGGTCGCAATCAAGTGACCGTGAGGGAATCTGCCAAGGATGGAAGCACGTGGGCCGGTTTTAACTTCCACTATTCAGCACTATTGTAAGGTTGAACGGTTGCTGAGTGAGTGATCATTATGCTAGGACCATCTGTAACTATCATTCTGGAATGGTGACTTGGAATAACGGTTTTAAGGCTCTGGAGCAGTGGTTCTCAATCTTTTTAATGCCGCGACCCCAACCGGTCGTAAGTCGAGGACTAAACTGGTCGTAAGTCGAGGACTAAACCGGTCGTAAGTCGAGGACTAAACCGGTCGTAAGTCGAGGACTACCCAACCAGTCGTAAGTCGAGGACTTTCCCTGCCCGGGAACACCGCGCATGCGTGGTTCCGCCCCCTGTGCCGGCCGAGGCATAGCTGGCAAGCGGCAGAGACGGAGCAGGCTGACCACCAGCTGGCCTAGCCCAAGGGAAGTAAGGCACCCGCCAAAAAAGGGGGAAAAATGGCGGACAAAAAAAATGGCGGACAAAAAAAATGGCGGACAGCCTTGCTTGGCGACCCCCGTGAAATGGTCGATCGACCCCAAATGGGGTCCCGACCCACAGGTTGAGAACCACTGCTCTGGAGGCTAACAGGAAGATCAGTTGAGGAGTTGGGGGGGGCTCTAGTGGATCAGACGACCATCCTTCTGAGCTCCTGCAGGTGAACCTAAAGGCTTCTCTCAATCGGTGACTTCTGACTTTAGTCTCAGGACAGCATTTCAGAAGTAGCCTAGCACAAAATTCATGAAAGCTGATTACTGGAAGGGAGTTCCACAGCCTCTGATCAGAAAAGGGCAAAATAAGCATTTGAGACTGCCTCCAGCTTCCAGCCCAACTCACCACTGTTGTCTCATTCCTGTCTTCAGTGTTGTACATGCAGGTGGTCCTCAGCACATCGCCCTATGACAGCAAGCAGGCAGGCTTGGTTCAGATACAGGAGGGCATCTAAAGAAAGCAGGGCCTCTATTCTGCACTACCAGATGTGTGTTGCTGCTGCTGCTGCTGTTAATGGGGCTGCCCTTGTGGGTCTTCTCCAGGGGTGCCCAGGTGCAGAAGCTCTGTCCTCAAGGGAAGGGTATACTGGCCACTGGACCTCAGAGCATAGAGGAAGGGCCAGCCTGCAAGAGCCCAGGCCCTGCGCTTGGTGCACTCACCTCAACCTCCCACAGGGCCCAATGCAGGCATTAGGTGGGCTGGGGAGGAAGAAAGGGCACCTAGAGCGGCAGCCTTTCCCTCTGCCTGCTCTGGCCAATGCCCCCCTTCCTCACAACTGCATCAGCCCATAAATGAAGATCCAGGGCAGGAGGTGAGGGCCATGGGCGCTGAAGACCAAGAGAGCCCATCTGCCCTGTGGAGAAGCCTGACAGTGCAAACTCTGGGGAAAGGAGCCCTGGGAGAGCCTCCAGGCCCAGATACCCCCACTCCTGTCGGCCGGCCCAGCACCTCCCTCCCCACATCCACTCCCCTGCCCATTATCCAGGCAGAGGGACTCCTCCTGCCCAGGGATGGCTCAGTTTCACATCAGCATAAGAAGGCAGCTCTGAAAAGGAGCCCATTTTGGTTTCCAGTTAGGCTACTTTTTCTCCGGGAAAGAAGGGCGATTCCGAGGGTTCTTTTCCAAAGCGGAGAAGCGCTTGCTTACCGGGTAGACAGAGACCACCTTCTTCAGCATGCGGATCTCCTGAAGAAAGGGGGAGGGTCAGGAAAGGGTTGGGGGGCATTGGCAAAGAAGGGGCAGTGGGGAAAGCAGGAAATAAGACGCTGTTGCCTTCCAATGTACCTCTCCCCTTGGTTAGTTCTCAATGTATTAATCAGATTGGTATCCCGTCACAATCCTAAAAGATGCTCAGCAGTTGACAAGCACCAATCAAACAAGCTGTTATCCCAATGCAGGGCATTGGATCCCCCAAAAGTCCCCCCCAAAAAGCTCTGCTTCCTCTCTTTCTTTCACTGGAGGCCAGATCACATTGGAGGTGGGGGGCGCCAATGGGAGGCCATTCCACAGTGCTGTCCCCCCCCCTGGAAAAATGCTTCTGGCTGGGAGGCAGCAAGAGTGAGGGGGGCCCTTGCAGAAAGAAGCCATCACAGCCCCCAAACGCAGCTCTAGCCCCCGAGGCCCCAGGCCAACCTCCAAGCGGCTCGTCTCCTGCCACGCAGCCAGAGCAATGGAGGAGACTTCGCTTTGGAGAAAGACTCCAACCTATCATGGGGGAGCCAGATCTCCTCGCCTCTGAGCGACCCTGCAGCAGGTCGTGGGGTTTTGGCATCGGTACGGCCAGCATGGAGGTCCTGGCACAAGAGGGGGCTCTAATGTATCAGGAGCTGCTTGCAAAGCAGCTGCAAAAATGGCCTTTGGCTTTTGATGTTCCTTTATAATTCCGGTTTATAACAAATATCAATGGGGAGGGGGCTTCACCGTGGCTGTCCTGATGCAATCTACATTTCTTTCTGCAACCCTCCTTTGCTGCATGGCTCCCCAGCCTGCTGCCCCTCATTTCCACCTTGGTCCCTCCTGCATCTCTTTTTCCCTTCTGGGCTCAGAAGCTCTTTGGAAGGACAGACTCCCTCCCGCTGGCGGAAGGAAGGAAGGAAAGAAGGAGGAAGCATATCAGCCCCTTCAGAAAAGCCACAAGAGAGCTCAGCTACCCGGCAGCAGCAGCCCCTTTGCTGCCGCAATCATCCTTCCACCCTGCCCCAGGGCCGGAGGAAAGAGGGCCGACGCCCTGGGGGCTCTCTGGGCAAAGGCTGCTGTTTCTTGGGCTGGGCTGGGCCTTCCCACGGCGACTTTCAGGAGGGGAGGGAGTTTCTCTTCTGCCTGCAGCAGAGACACATCCTCCACTGAGAGGGAAGGCTACCATGCTTTCTTGGCAACCCCCCCCTCCCCCATTTACCTGGAAGTGGGGACTGTAGTGCCTGTCCCTGCTGACAATTTCCCAGTCTCTCCCTTCGCGGGACAGCACGGTCACCACGCTCCTCCCGGCCAGGTGGGTGTGGAGCTGAGAAGCAAAGATGTGAATCCCAGCAGGTGGCAAAGCCTGCAGAGAGGAGGAGGAAGTGAGAACACTGCCCGGGGGGGGGGGAGTGGGCAGGAAGCCAACCCTGGGACCCTCTGAGAAAGGGGCATCGAAGGTGGGGACGCTGCCTGATGGGCCCAGGGTGGGCTGCATGGAAAGGCACCGCTGCTGCTTCTCAGGGGCCCTTTGGGGAAAGCGTTAGGCTGGCCTCTGCTTGTTATCTGCTGAATGTCATCCAGGGTCAGAAACAAAGTGTGTGCTCTGGAGCCCCCACATTGCATCCGTTCCTTCATGAAGCAACCACGGCTTCCTAGGAGGCATGTCAATCCTCCAGCAATAATGGCAGGCCTGCCAGCGGGAACTGACAGGCAAATAGAGGGCTCTTTCTCATAAGCTGAGAATGGGACACTCGAATGGGGCTCCTGCCAGGCTCTGCTATGGGGTGGGCAGAGATGGGTTCCCCCCTTAGAGATTCCCAGCTCCTCTGGGGAAGCTTTGCTGGTGGTGGTGGTGGGGGCATGTCACTGCTGCCTTTGTGGGTGGGAATGGAGTGGATGTCTCCTCTGCGTTTCCATGTAAATCGGTCTTTTTAACCCAATTCCTGTATTGGGGAATTTGGATGCCATTCAGTCTGACTGAAATTGAGAAAGGAAAGAGGAAAGAAGGAAGGAAGGAAGGAAGGAAGGAAGGAAGGAGGGAGGGAGGGAAGGAAGGAAGGAAGGAGGTGGGGGAAGAGCTGCAGGCCATGTCTACCCCCCCCCCCAAAATACAGTAGCTTCTCCACTTTAAAAGAGAAGAGAAGGGATGACTCCCGCAGCCCAAGATCGCCAGGGTTAGGAAAGCAGCCTAAGAGAGTGGCAGAGGCCTCACCAGCTGGGTGCACTTGTCCGAGCAGTAGCCGGTGAGGGAGAAATGGCTTTCGCCAGGGGGAATCGCCATCACCGGTGTGTAGACCAGGCCCAGCTCCATGATTCCTGCGTCATACTGTCGGAGGGAGGCAGTGTAATGGAGTCGAATCCCGGACGAGTCATGGCGGCCTGGCAAGAGGCAAGGGGGGGGGGGTTGCACAAAGCCCTTTTCTGCTCAAGAATGGGCACCCCCTTCATCACAAGGAAGGCCCCAGAGAATCCAGCAGGGTCCCAGTTATGTTTTGGGCACGATCCCGAGGCCCCCCAGCCCATTGCTGATGCTCAGCAGGAGCGCATGGAGAGCTGCTGAAGACCTTCCCCAAACTACTCATAAATAATCCCAAAGATGCCATGCAACCTCAGACTCCCGTTTGCCATCTGCCTCTCATGGTATCTGGAGCTGGGAGAGGCTGGCCTGCTTTTCCTCTCCTTGAGTCTCCTGCTCTTGTCCGGGGCCTGGAAATTACAGCAGCCCTTTTGCCCCGGGAGCAGGCACCCTTGTGGGCCCTGGCAGTGCCCAATGGCTGATCCTATACGCCAAGCAATCTGTCCCTCCTATCCTTTGGTGACTCCACTGTCCCATGGGAGGCCCCCCGCCCTAATCCCCACTGCGTGGGACTCCCAGGGTGGAAGCAAGGCCAGCAGTGAATTCTCTGAAGGACACCGAAGGCAAGGGACTTTTTGTGTGCCTTCTCCAAGGGTGGGGTGGATAGACAGTCCCCCTGCCAATTTCTGGCATGCTCTGACCTCTGTGCAAAGGGCCTCCACCCACAACTCTTGCCTGGGAAACAAGCAAAGGCAGAATCAGGGTGTTTGTTCGGGTTGAAGGGAAATGGGTTCCCTCCTGGTTTTTAGGGGGTGCCCCCATGAGAAAGTCCCATCCTGCACCAACTTGGGAAACAAGGGCTGGGGGAAGGTAAGCGCAGAGGCCTCCTTGAAGCCCGAAACGCCTTCTTCAAACCACCCCAGGGTGAGCATGGTACAAGAAGTAGAAAGGAGAGGGAAAGACAGGTTCTGCCCTGAAAGAGCAGCCGGTTCTGCAACGAGACAGCTAGCAGTCCCTTCAGATCAGAGGAGGGAGCACCTGGGTCTGGTTCCAGGATGGGCCTTTGGCAGGGAGAGCTCCATGAGGACCCCAAGTCCTCCTCACCATGGCTACCCTACTGCCATCCAGGTGGCAGAGAGGATGCATCTGCATCACCCCTTGCCTGCTTGCCAGAGGTGGGCAATCAGAAGTGGTGAGCAGAAGGTGCGTTCCGATGAGGCTGATGGAAACTGCCAGATCCGATCAGCAGCTCAGCCTTCCAGAGCCACGTTGGTTTCTTTCATCTCCCACACAGGAGAGCAGCACTCCTCTGCATCCAACCTAAACGGGAGTTCAGATCACTTGGGGGTTTCACCCCAGATTTCCCCAGAAGAGGAAAGGGTAAAAGGCCATCAACCAGTGGAATCAACTACCTCAAGATGCACTGCTTTGGCTTTAAGGCGTGGGGGGGGGAGGAGTAGGGAGCTTCCAGTTCTGATCCAGGCAGCTGCCCATAAACGGGGGGGGGGGCAGGAATCCTCTGGGAGCTCTCCCACCACTAGCCTTAGGAGCAGCCAGCTGTGGGGAGACCTCGTGGCACCCAATGGAGAGGGTTGCTATGGCCAGGCAAGCAAACCTTGATTTGGAGGCTGGGAAAGTGGAGGCTGCTGTCCTCTTCTACCGGCCACATTGCTGGTGGCTATCAGAGCAGCACTATCTTCCCAGGAGGCCCTGGGGCTGCAGCCAGAGACTGCAGCCCCTGGCCAGCTTCTTCTGAAGCCCACCTCCTGGGCTGCCCTTCAGCACATCAAGGTCCAAGAATGACAGGGGACCTTATGGATGGAAAGGAAAGCCCCCATTCCCCAAAGCTGGCTTGCCTCCCAGCCCTTGGTAGAAAATACAACTGAAGCGCAGCACAGATGCTGTACTTGTCTAAAATTACTCTTGAAGAGCCAAGGAACAGAACTCTGAGTTTATGTAAATGCGGCCCCTCCTTGCTTCCTTTTTTAAACCTGCCAGCTGTCAAAACAAGGCAGTGCAAACAAGGGTGCTGAGTTAGCTGGGGGGGCTCCTTCCCAGGCCAGTGAAAGGTAGCAGGGATGGGGGAGCTTTCTCAAAGGGGAGGGGGCAGCAGGGGCCCCTCTGGAGGTCTGGACTCATCTGCAGAGCGACTGGTGTGGCCCTTTCTCAGCTGCAAGCTGGCCAGATGCTGCTTTTGTTCTCTTTGGGGGAGGCAGGAGGGGGCGATCCTGGCTACAAGGAAGAGGCTACCTGGCTTAATTCAGGCAAGCCCAGGAGAGACCTTGGCAGGGGAAGAGGCAGCCCAAAACATGAATGGTGAGAAGGCTGCCTTGTTCCTCCTGGTCAAGACCAGTCCCAAAGAAAGCCTCTGCTGCTCCTCTCCAAGACCTCCCCTCCCTCCCTCCCTCCCTCCCCTCCATTCTCTTTCTGATCCCCAAAGCCTCAGGATCAGACTCCAGTGGCCAGCCCACGTCTGCTATGTCTCGCTCACCTTCAAACTGCAGGGGATTATGGTAGTGGACTTCCAGGCGCAAATATTTGGAGAAGCTGGGACCCCCAAAGGCTAGACCTGCATCTTCAGGATAGTAAAAGGCCTGGACGAAGAGAGAGGAAGGTATCACTGTTATCCTTGGTGGAACTGGTCCTCTTCATCAGCTCAGCCTGGTCCTTGTCTGGGGACATCAGACCAAAGGTCCCCAGGCTATTATCAAAGGGTGGGATGGTTTGCAACAGCACTTTGGGGTTCAAGCCCTTCCCCCCCCCCCCCCGAGCTGCTGCTTTACCACCTCGCTCAGACCCTCCAAACTCCAGAAAGGAACTCCAGGGTCTCAGAGCCCAGAAGAGGCTGTTTTAGAACGGAGACCCAATGGCCCTATTGCAAGAGCCAGCTAGGATATCTTGAAATAGGACTTTGCCAATGCTTGGACCGCTCTCCATTGCCCCAAACCCCACAGAACCCCCCTGGAACCAGTGAGCAAGCAAAGCTATTTTCCAGAGACAAGGGGGCAAGCAGTCCTGGTGACTCCTGGTGGGAGAGGCAGATCACATCTTCTTAATTCAAAATGTTCCTGGAGGCCAGGATGGCTGATTTGGGGCAGAAAACAGCCCTGACACCTCCTGAAGCATTGTCTGAGAACAGAGGAACTAGGGGGGCTTCCCACCCAGATCCTTCTCTTGGTTAAGCCCCCTGTCTATCATGATGGAGGGGACATGAGGCTCACCTGTGCACCCATCGCCCAGGCAGCCAAGACATGTCGACAGAAATCCAGGTGCCGCGGCTTCATCTTGGAATGGCAAGGGCCGCTGTAGTGTGGGAAGGTCGGGAAGCGGGGGCTGCACTGGAAGACCTCCATGTGGTGGACCAGGGCTTCATTCCCGCCTGTGACCACCGGTTCATACTGAGAGGGAAGAGGAGAGGTGGTGACCCCCAAGCCCTGCAGCTTTGCATCTGCCATTGATGGAAGAAGCAAATTCTCCACTTTGTCTCTTTAAAGGCAGATGATTTGGGATGGATAAAAGGACCCCCACTGGGGTCCTCTGCAAAGAGCGTTCTCCTTGATCTCAAACTGAACCAGGTGGGGTGTTAGCATTGCTCTCTTGTTCTGAAAATTCACAAAAATGGAAAATGGTCTTCCACTGACTGTGATGAGGGGACTTTCAAACTGAACCTGCTCCTCCTTCCAGCTAGATGTGATGAAATACCATAGTTGACTGAGTTAGCCCTATCTCCTGAGTTCACACAATATGCTAGCTAGATTCTCAGAACCCCCCAGTCAGAATTAAACTCAGGCAAAATCCTCCGTTCCCATGATATGTGATGCCCAAACTAAAATGGTCCAGTTCACTCAGCATGCTGGGACAATGCGGAATCCCAGGCGGGGGATGTGCCCTCTCCCCCTGCAGAGGCAGATGCCCCTCCCCCTCCTCTTCCGAGAGGCCGAAGGAACAGAGGGACAAGCCGGGATCCACTTTTCCTTCCTTTGCACAACACAAAAGAATACTTTTGGAGCTAAATCGCCAGATGATGATGATGATGATGATGATGATGATGATGATGATGATAATGATGATGATTGACCCAGAAGTACTTCAACCAGGGGAGAGGTTCATTACATTTGAAACGGGCTTTGCAAAGCTCTCATTTAATCTAACAGGTGGAAGACATCTTTGCTGAAAGCTGGAAAAAGGGGAAATGATACCACCATATTTTTTGGACCTTACAATCTTGATTGAGTGCGATGCTGGCTGTACAGATGGGGATGGTTGCAATCCTAGTTAGTGGATATTTTGCATGAGATGGCCTGGATTCAGGAAGAATCGGTCCCTTGCAAAGCACATTGGGAGGACTTTAACCCGAATCTGTGAGGGAGGAAGAAAAGGGGGCGGTGGGGGCCAGTCCTTCTACTCACCATGACAATGTGATGCTTTTCAAAGCCATCTGGAAGTTCAGTCATGAAACACCAGTACGTGGTCTCCTGGTGGGGAATGGTCACATCTGGGACTCGGATCTCCATGGTCTTTAGGTCCCCAGGCAGTGGGGGGACTTTGATTTTGGGCTTCAGAAGTTGCACCCGCTGCACTCCCTTCCGGAGCAGAGCAGAAACATTGATGGCTTGGAGAGACGGAGATGGTTTCTCCAAAATGCCGTAAATGAGATGCACAGTTCCGTCCTGGAAGGGAAGTCACCAAGCACTTTATCTCTGAGCCACCAAGGATAAGGCTGGCTGCCCTGATTTAGGTGGGCTTCATTTCTGACCAGAAGAAACTCAGAGGGTGGTGAGCACAGCACAAAACATCGTGGGCTGTTCCCTGACACCACTAGATGACATCGCCAGGGCCCGCTGCCTTAGAAGAGTGAGGAAAATCCTCAGGGATGACTCACACCCTGGTCGGCACTTCTTTACTCTCCTACCATCAGGCAGGAGATATAGAAGCATAGCCAGCCACACCAACAGGCTGAAGAACAGTTTCTACCCATGGACTGTCAGACTCCTGAATGGGAAATAACTCCATGTATGATAGACTTGTGGGGCCGACACATTGTGCAATAAGTTCATGTGGTGTAATAAGATTGTGTGTTGTCACTGTGAATTGTGTCAGCGGGGTGCACGAAAGGAGGCTTAGCCAATCTCATTGTACACATGTTGTACTTTGGCAATAAAGGTTGATTTGATTTGATTTGATTTGATTAGAAAGCAAGCAGTGTGCACCATGTGTGGAGGTCTGAAATGGCTTCCTTGGGTTAGAGGATGATCAGACCCTAAGGCTGACAGAAGGGCTAATTTAAAAAGGGAGCAGCATTCTCTGTAAGAGATGCCATCATGGAAAGAGCACATCACTGAAAATAATTCCCAGCAGAGTCTAGACAGACACCTTAAGACTACATCTTACAACAGGCAAGGCGAGATAATAGCTGCCAATTAAGCCACAGCACAATCCATCGGTCTGCTTTTGACCACACAGCTCCATAAGGATGAATCTCTTAAACAACAGATTTCCATTATTATTCTAACTGTATGTTTGCCATAGAATACCCTTAAATTTGAGTCCAACAGTTTCTCTTAACTGAAATTAAAATACTGAAGCCATATGAGCACATAGAAATTACAACTTAAATTGTAAACTTTCAACAATGTTCTTAACTTTAAGAAAATTCTAGCAGCATCACTCTTCAGACTTTTCTAAAATTTTAGGTCAGTTGGCTTGCTTGGTCTCAACACGGGGGACCTTTCTAGATTTAGGCTGTTATTGGTGCTTTGATGGCATAATATCAGTTGCTTATATATTGAATTATTTAATATTTAATATTTTTACAATATTGATAGCTTACTCAATCCTCAAACAAAACCCCCCTCACTAAAAACATATCACAGCAAAACCCAGTACATCAAAGGCATCATTCACGCAATCTGTGCTGCTTTGCTCTACAGATGTTTAGCAAGTGCCTCGTTTAGTGACTCTTCATAGTTTCAATGATGATGAAGAAGTAACTGCAACCAGTTCTCACAGTTGTGGTTTTGCTTAGCAACTGCTTTGCTTATCCGAACTGTAACAGGACTACCTGTTTTGTTGGGGCCATCCCTATCTGGAGGTGGGGGAGGTATTCCTTAAAGAGGGGCCACTATTAAGAAAGTCTATTCCCTCTCCAAGCCCTGACAAAGCATTGTGTGAACAATGCCACAGAATTCAGGACTACCGCATCAGTTCTCTGTGTTTTTTCTTTCTCCACAATATTACAAGATCTGGGCTGCTTTTGGCTGCCAGGAGCCCCATTAGGTGGATGCGAAGGGTCAATAGCTTGGAAGGTCAATATATAAGAGACACCCACGTAAGCCACTCTGGGAAAGCCAAGAAACTGGGTTTTTTAAAAAAAAAAATAGGAAAAGGGAGGTTTAAAACTAATGTTCAGCAATACAGACTTGAGGTTTTGATTTCCATTTTCAAAACATAAAATTAGATTGTGCAAAACAAAGCATTTTCAGGATATTCTGCTTCCCTCCCTACATTATTCTCTTCAGATTTAGAACAGTTCTTTCTCAAAATTGTTTCTGAAGCAGAAGATTCTACCTCAATCAGATAATCCTTTGGATCACAGGTGACAAAGGGCCTCTTGAAGAGGAGGGACAGCCCCCCACCAATTCTCCGTGCGCCCAGAAGCTGGTAGTTCTGCTGGGCGTCCATGTGCAGCTGTGTGTCTTGGTCGCTCCAGGTGTCCTACAGGTGAAGCAAAACAACGTTTGTGTTTCAGAGAACAGAGATCGAAAGGGCATTGTGGCCCAGTTAAAGCATCCAGCCTTGGATTTACACTTGGTGAGGCCCTAAGCTAAAGAAAGCTTGGAGTGCCCTTGTTAAAAATTTCAAAATTAAGAATATAAGTAACAATGAACTTGTTTGCAAAATTGGAATATGGATATTCTGAAATTTTGTGAGGCCCTAAGTTGTAGCTTCTTTAGCTTCTTTAACCCTTATTGAGATTTAGCCTTAAATCCAGGGCAGATTCCACCCTCCCTACTTAGCTTGGAATCGCCTCATTCCTTTTTTGGGTATTAACAAGATGAGCAGAATATGTCTTTGGATGTCTCTATACACACAAGGAACACATTTCATACAGAATGTCAATTCAAGGCCAGGCTCAAATAAATACCTGAGCCAAGCTTCTGGCCCTGGGGCTGGCTGGGCCTGGACCAGGCTCGCTTGGCATTTCTTGGGCTGTGGGGCCAGCTGGAATCTCATGGAGGTTTTCCTTGTAAGCACCAAGTTAGAAGCGACAACAGATAGCAGCTAGAGAGGAGCTACGCTCCTCAATGTTCGAATGGGGTTGAGTCATCACTCTGTTTTTCTGCAAGAATTCTGAAGCATTTCTTTACATACATCACGTTGGGGTTGAGGCTGAAGCCAAAGAAGGCTAGAATCTGTTCTGAGATCAGGCCTATTAGGCTATTTATGAGATGGGATAATTCATCCAGTAGAGTCAGGCATGAGGGACGGATGCAAAAAGACCAGCAACCCGCCTCAGTTGCATCAGCAGAGCTCAAACATGGCTGAACAATCTCTAAGCATCCCTGCTTGCAATCTGGAGCTTCTACGTGCATCATGAAATAAGATGAAAGTCTCCAGGATGAACACATGTCTCTACTGCTGCTGGTGTGAATCACCCCCCCTTTCTTGCTAATGACAGGTGTCACTCAGAAAGAGACCCAAGGAAGCCCAAGAGAGGCAAGGGAAGCATACTTCTGCAAAAACTCTGCTGCGAGACTCACATTGCTGTGGGGTTACTCTTAGCATAGAGAAGCTTAGTATTTAGGCATCAGTAGTAGACATCAAGGTCTTCTTTTAGCAATTTTTCATACCTCAATATTTGATTTTTCTGAAGTAAATGTTCTCTTTTTCTTTTAAACAACTCTGTTTCCAAAGCATATTTTAGCAGGGGTACTGAGTTCTGCCACACTGAAACCACCAGCAGCCCCACTCATTGGATCCCTGGGTTGGCGTCTCAGGTGAAGTAAGCCTCCTTGTTGTGTGGCTCATTGTGTGTTGTGAGGGCTCTTGTGGTTGTGTGTGTGTGTGTGCGTGTGTGTATGTTTGTGTGTACTATGATCTTTGAATCTGACACTTCTCCAGCCCATCATGCAATTTCCCCGACCTTTTGAATTTGTTCTGGGTGGGGATTTTTGCTGGCTTGTTATCCTTCTGATGGTGTCCCACCTTCCTAATCTTGGGATATTGTCATGACAACAGTGGCAAGATTGTAGTCTTGCCAGCACAGCTGGTCAAAAAAAGGCCCTTTCAGTAGGGCAATTGGCCCTCATTTTTGCCAGGGAAGCGCCCAGGCTCACAGGTGCAATTACACCTGGGGCATCTCACATTATGGGGTTCAGGGGTTCCCCTCAGAGGGAGGGACAGGTGAGCCTGCAGGGGCACCTGGGAAACATTCCCCCCAAAGGACTTTTCCCAAGCTTGCATGGCCTATAGTTTAGCTCTTCAATGTGCAACCAAAATTATCTAGCTAGAATAAGAGGCAAAGGAATCAAGAATGCCAAATTCATGCTAAAAGATAAAAACCCAATAATCTGGTTTCAATTATGGTTAAAAAAAATAAAAATTAGCTAAACCAAATATAAAATAATGGCAGATATTAACATCAGGTACATTCAGTGAAGTTTTAATATTAGCCTACTCAAACACAGACTGTTCCTTGGCTCATGGCTTCAGACTTGGAATCATAGAGTCCTAGGGCTGGAAGGGACCTGGCAGGTCTTCTACTCCAACCCCCTGCCCAAGATACAAGACAAATGGCTGCCCAATCTTTTCTTGAAAACCTCCAGTGAGATGCCCAAGTGTAGGACCTTACTTTTCACATTAGAGGACTGGATAGGGCCCTTTCTTTCGTCTGTCAAGCTCCTTCGGAATCTTGAATATCTTCCAAAATGTTGGCTATTCCCTCCAGCTTGTTGTCAGCTGCACATTTGATAAGCAACCTTTCTATCCCCTCATCTATAGCTAGATCTTCTCAATGCCTGTTTTCTGATCTGATCCCCCACAGGTTCATCCAGCCAGTGTCCAATGAAGGAACTAGCCCTGGAGATACAGAAGCAAGGCTCCATCTTCCTTGGACACTCTTCTTGGAACCCAAAAAACATTTCTCATCAGTACCAACAGAGATCCCAATACCAGAAGGAAGCCCCTGGGTCTGAGTTTGGCAGAGGAACCGCTTCCCTGCTTACCCACCGCAAAATAGAACTGGAGCCCATCGCTCCACAGGACAGCCAGATCTGCCTCCTGAAAGCCTCCTCGGTCTGACATGCCAAAGAGAAAGCCATATTTCACCTCCTTGGCCATGATCTGGAAATGCACCTCTTCCAGGTGGTAGCTGATGTTCCAGGAGAGCTCCAGGAGGCCCTGAGGGTCCAGGGGTATCTTGAATGGGAAGTTCTCTCTTGGCTCTGTGCCTTGAAGGGCCACCACCAGGAGGACCAGGAAGACGGCAAGCAGCGAGAAGTACATGGATGCCGCTTCCCGGACCCTGAGCACCAGGCAGGATGCTCCCTTTGGCCTTCTCCCGGAGCTTGGCATTCTGGCCAGCAAGAGTCGTGCGGCCATCGGCTCTTTCCATTTATAAAGAGACCTTCCTAGCAACTGGCTCGGTAATTCCCCTTAATTACATTTGGTGGGTGGAAAATCAGATTGTGCCACTGAACAGCCCTGCCTGTGTCCTCCTCCTCCTCCTCCTTCCACCTGGCCCAGGCGCTTGTCGCTTTCTGCTTCTCTCTAATTGCCTTTAATTGTTTGTGGACATCATTAGTGGGAATTTAACTGGACTGGATAGGTTTATTTTTCTTTTTTAATGTCCTTTTAATGCTTTTTGAAAGGCTGGCATGGAAGTTGATTTGTCTCCCAATCCTGCGTGCGTTTTGTTTCTCTTTCTCTGCTGCTCTCTTCCCTCCTCCAAAATGGAGCCAGAGATGAGACTTTGTGGGAATTGCTGAGTGGCCAGAAAGTCTCACCCGGGTGTACCAACAGAAAAAAAAAAGGTTGGGATCTCTTCCCAAAGCCCTGTGTGCTAAGCCCCAATGCCCCAGGATTCGCAATTGCCCCTTTGGTTGCAGGCGGACATGAAATGCAGCAGCTACAAAGTATGTTGTGTCCATGCAGAAGCAAATTTCTGACTGCCTGCAGCATTAAATTCCTTCAGTTCTTGATCCTGCATGACATGCTTATCACACATCTGGAATACATGCATCTGGAGGGAGAATCCGCCAAGAGGAAAGGTGAGCGCCTAGGCCAGAGTTCAAAGGAGCACTTACAGCTTCTTGACTTCAATTGCACAAAAAGGGTAGTAGCTGGAAGCATTCATTTCTGGCTGAGGGAAACTAAAGCTGGATCTTCTCTGACCACCATCCCAACATGACACTTTAGGCCACAGTGTCTCTTGGTGGCCATCCAGCCCTAGCCATCGCTCCCTTCTGGGCCCTTGGAAAAGGGCTCAGCACCTAAGTTAGCCAATGTGAGGTACCTCAGTTTAAAACTTGTTGCAACAAAGCCACCAAAGAACAATGACAACAACAACCCTAACCCAAGGTGACATAAGTTATGAGTACAATTTTACTGGGACCGAAGCCCTTTCGAATCATCCTTTCTCCATAGCAAGACTCTGCACTGTGGAGTAGAGTTTCCTCTGGAGTAAAACAACAGCTTGGGACTGTTCACCTTGCTGAATGAATTTGCTTCTGCTCCCTTTGATTGCTATGTTTGCTTCAGTTGCAGCATGTTCTTTTGCTGACTTTCTAGGCTCTGGAGGTTTTTTTAAATTATTATTATTTTGATGTTAGTGAAACTACCTCCTCCGAAAGCATCTCTGTGTAGGAGAAGAAACCAACTGTGTGTCTGTGTTTGTGTCTGTGTGTGTCTGTGTGTCTGTGTGTGTCTGGGTCTGGGTCTATGCTGATGATGATAATGATGATGTTGCTGGGGCTGAGGCTTGTTTCAGGACAGATCACTGGTGTCCTGAAGTTCTTAACTGGTGGATGTTTGTGAGTTTGTGGAAGTGTTATCATCTGGTGATGTTTGGGTAATGAAATATCTGTAAGAAAACAACCAGCCAAGCCCAGAGAGCACCAAGACCCCTCATTTCAACCTTGAACTATAAATATTCTTCTTTACTGAAGAGTTATCAGCCTGTGGGTAGGGAGGATGCCTTCTAGAAGATTGCTGATGTGATACCTTGAGCTGGTGAGATGTACCAGTTACATCTTTCCTTAATCTTTCAGGGGTTTTTCTGATGCTTCTGGACCATCTTAACGGGTTGGCACTGAAGGGGCAGTTTTGCAATGTTCTCCTCTTTCCTCCAAGGCTGGTTGCAGTTGGGGTTAGTAAGGGAAAAGAGAGACTGCCAGGCCTGGAGCTATGATGTGTGGGGGTGCCACAGGCCTCAACTCTATCCCCGCTCCTATTTAACATTTATATGAAACCACTGGGTGAGGTAATTCACCAGCATGGGTGAGGCTGTGCCACTGTGATTGTTACCTGTGACTGGAAGCAGTGAGGCACTGGATGGGGAAGAACAGACTGTGACTCATCCATAGCAGAAGTGACGTCAATGGGCATTTGGGCCTCCTGGATCTGAAGATTTTCCATCCTTAGTGCTTCCTGGATAGAGTCAGTGGGAATCATCCTAGACTCACAACTATTGCCTGAGGAGACAAGGGGGGCTTTTGCACAAATCCATGCACTATTTCTAAACCAGCAGATTCTAATGATTTAGCCATTTCCTGCCTGGATTACTGCAATGAGTTCTAAATGGGGCTGTCTTTGGAAGCTTCAGTGGGAAGCCAGTTCAGGGCCTAGTACTGAATGCCCAAAGTTCATCTCTGTCACAGATGGCTGTGGAAGGGGCTGCTTATCACCTTTAACTCTCTGAATAGCACAGGACAAGATGGAGTGACTATCCCAGTGGATGCAACCAGGTGGATGTGCTCCGGTGTTGCATGGGAAGATCTGCAAGAAATACCATTTGCCTACAAGCAAGAATTGGTGGGACCACAAAAT